ATTGTTTGGTCGTGTGAATTAATGAATGGTAGTGTTATTGGATATCCTGAAAGATTATGGACGGACCGGGTACATAGGGAACCCTACTGTGAACGTTGTCTCATACCGGACAGAGTATCGAGAAATGATATTTTTGGCACTCATACTGGACAGGGTATGTAGATGTCCAATTTGTTGACAATGTTGGATATGAGTTCACGCGTAGTGGGACATTCCTATGGGGTCTTAGGGATACCAGTATGCAAATAAAAAATAAAAATTATTGTTCTTGTTTACTTGAATATGATGTTAAAATATTATTTAAGTTATTTTTTCTATAAGTCGATTTTAGAAATCTCACAATCGTAAATATATGCAATAAATAATTTTATTTATGATAAACGAAATTATTTAAATTAAGAACTCTATTGATTGTTTTATGATTTTTAACAATTTTTAATTTTTATACCGGTGAGTAGTGTGATATTTTTACTGGTATCCCTGGATTATAATTGCCATAGAGAGACTTATTGATACTATTATTATTATTTAATAAAAAATAACAACTTAATTATTACAGTATCATAAATACATTATTAAATTAAATTATTAATTTTATTAAATTAAATTAAATATTATAATAAATTATTATTTATTTATTATTATAATTTTAAATCACTATCATTCTTACCTAATAGTTTTTAAGATATAATTTGTTCATTGAATTAATGTTTTGTGCGTAAATGACGGTTAAAGCTAAGAAGCTAAATTCCAACAGAGGAATATTTTATCCAAAATAGTCATAAAATAAAACATTATATATTGATGAACATAAAGCCAAACTAAGCCTTATAATAAAAGGTAAATAATAAAGTTTAACCAAGTGTATTTTATTATTTTCTATATAAAAAAATATATTTCATAATAATTAGCTTTTTTAATTAAAATAATTATAAAAATTTAAAAATTCAATATAATCTTTTATTTACGAAAAAAAATGATAAAAATTTTATGAGTCTTTAAACAAAATAACGGTTGAATTATTTATCTTAATTTAATATTCTTAGCTTAAAATAAATATTATAATCCAAATCATTAAAAATAACATATTTGATTTTATTTTAATAAAAAATTTAGTTGTTTGATTTTATTTTAAATTTACCGTACGTACTTAATGTATAATATGTTGTACATAAAATACTATCAATTTGATTAAACCTATTTAGAAGTGGTATGTTAAGATTAAACGAATGTTAAATTTTAATATATCAAATAAAATATTGCATAAGGCAAAAAAAATATTATCTCTCATTTTATGATAGATTAAATTATAAATAACAAAAAATTTAAAAAATATAAATAGACGATTATGATTTTCAAATCACACATTAAATTTTTTCTTATTCTATTATTTCATCGTAAGAAAAAAGAGAATATAAAAATTCTAAAAGACCACATATTGATCTAATATATATACTATAAATTCAAATACGCTTCACTTCAGATCTAATATCTTTAGTTTAATATGAATACGATAATTTAAATTTATATTTAATTTTATAAAATTCTTACATCAGAAACTCATATATAATTTATAAATTTCATCTTACACTAAATAATTATTATATAAAAAAAATATAAATTTGATGCAATCAAGAAAACTTTGTATTTTATTTTTGTCAAATTGATATTATTAAAATAAAAAATAATATTTTTATAATAAAACCTTAATAAAGAAAGAAAGCGATCATACATAAAACTATGATCTGTTTTTGTCCAAAACCAAAGCGCAGACGCACACAACACAACGGTCGCAAACGGTTCAAAACGCACCGTCAGCCATACATATATATGTATATATGGAATAAATTTTTAATAATATAATTATAAATAATAAATTAATTTTTTTTTAATATTAGATCTACAACCTCATCAGATCTCGAACTCGAGTACTCCTTGTAGTGATGTTGTTTAAAAATATCGTGATTTTTTTTTTCGAAAATAAATTAATTAATGTACCGGGTCCACACGTGGGGTAACGGAGACCTGTCGGGACATTAACTTCGACGTTTATCGGAATCAAATCGTGTATAAATTCACGGGCGGTTTCGCGTATCGCTGACGGAAATAAACGGCCCACGTTCGTTAATGCTTATCCAAAACTCTCTTGAATTTACTTAACATTCAGCCTGGCCTTTTCATCCTTTATTTATTTTTTAATTTCTTTAATGTACTTTATAATTTTTTTAAAAAAATTTCTCTGAAGTTTAATATAAAATAAATGGTCTCTCATACTTCAATTACTCCAGTAAATACAAAATTACTACAAGCTACCGAAGCACAAATGGTATAATATAATATACATTTTATTAATTTACTATTTTCGTGTACCCAAAGAAAAAAAAAAAAAATTGATGCGACGAGACTAAATTACGAGGTCAAAGAAAATAAAGAGGGTGTAGTACTTATGAACAGTCAAAATTTCTAAATTCATTACACTTTATTTAATATAACATATCATAAAATAAATGAGGATTTTTAATGGTTAAATTTATAAAAGTAATAAAAAATTTAAAAATAAAATTACGAAATCTACCAGTAAAAAATATAACACATAATTTATACACAATACATTTATATAAAAATAAATTCGAATTTTTTAAATTAAAGAAAAAAAAAAAAAAAAAAAAAAGCAGAGAGAAAAAAACAACCTTGGGCGGTGGCCGGGCCAATTGTTATTAGCGGGAAGTAGACCTGACCAGAACCGTGGACCGTTCCAGTATTAGTGGGACCCACTAATAACTCGGCTTTGGTTTTTTTTGACGTCATTATTATCATTTTTATTATTTAAAAGTCTTAACAGAAAGTCAACTCTCACTTCACACGCTGCAGTAGCAACGTGAACTCTGTAGATCAAGAACTCTTCCTTACCACGAAAAGTCCGAGCGACAATTTTCTTAACAAAAAAATAATATATATACATATATATAAATAAATAACCAAAGATGTTTTTCGATATAAGAGCTGTAAAAATTTTATTAATATTTAAATTTAATTATATTTAAATAATAATTTATTAATATTTAATAATTATTATTATTATTATTTGAATTAACAGTATTATATAATTATATGTATTTAAAAATACAAACAAACAGAAAAAAAAAAAATTATGAAAAAATCGTAGCATTATTGCTGATCCAGCTCTAACTAAAATAAACAGGAGAAGATGATTTTTGGGAAGAAAAGAAAACCACAAGTTCACGAACTTTGGATAAGGTGTGTTCTAGAAGAAAATGAAAATTTTAAATGCAATTTTTTTGGGAAAAACAAAAAAAACAAAACAAAACAAAACAAAACTACATCAAACAAGTGGCAGCCAATAGATAAATTATGTCCATCACAATTGCATCCATGGAGATTATAAATAGCTCAACCCATGAGTCAGTCTCTACATCACTCACCTCTCTGAGTCTTCCACTTCCTTTCATCTCCATCATCATAATCAGCAAATTTACAGAAACCAATGACTCAGTCGCCGGAGCTGATTCCGGGTTTGCCTGAAGAAATTGCCCTCGAGTGCTTGACTCGGTTACACCACTTAACTCACCGAGTCGCCACCCAAGTGTGCAGCCGCTGGCGGCGGCTTATTCACAGCAAGGAGTTTTACTACCAAAGGAAGCAAACTGGAAAAACCCATAAAACCGCTTGTTTGATCCAATCACTCCCGGTTCATCCTGGTTCAGACGACCTCAAACCCGTCGGAGCTCCTAGGTGTTCTATAACCTTGTTTGACCCGGTGAATGAAACCTGGGACCGGATTGACCCAATTCCCAAATACCCAGATGGGCTTCCCTTGTTCTGCCAGGTAGCAAGCTCGGAAGGGAAGCTCGTAGTAATGGGAGGATGGGAACCCGCGAGTTACCAGCCGACAAATGATGTTTTCGTGTATGATTTCACAAATCAGAGATGGAAACAAGGAAAGGACATGCCGGAGACTCGTTCCTTCTTCGCCATCGGTGAAGTAGAAGGACGGGTTTTAGTAGCCGGAGGCCACGATAATAACAAGAACGCATTGAGTTCAGCGTGGGCTTACGACGTGAGCAGCGACGAGTGGACTGAGCTGACTCGGATGAGTCAGGAGCGAGACGAGTGTGCAGGAATTGTTATAGGGGGAGAATTCTGGGTGGTCGGCGGGTATAGGACGGAGAGTCAGGGGGGTTTCGAAGGGAGCGCTGAGTTTTATGAGTTGAGAACGGGTGAGTGGAAACGAGTAGAGGAGGCATGGAAGACGGACCGGAGTGCGAGATCATACTTGGGTATAGACAAAGATGGGAAGCTGATCTGCTGGGCGGAGAAAGACCCGAGGGTGCGGGATGGGGTTTGTGCTGTTCAGGTGAGCGACCGGACCGTCTTGTCCGGTTCGGCTTACCAAGGTGGACCGCAAGGGATCTTTGTAGTAGAAGGGCAGAATGGAAAGTTGAAGAAGGTGGAAGTAGTCGATGAGTTCTGTGGACTCGTGCAGTCTGGGTGTTGTGTTGAGATCTGAAGTAGACTCTTGTGTATATATTTTATTTTTGTGTGTGTATTTATATCACGTCTTGTTTTTGTGTGTCACTACACTAAAATATTATGTTAGTTCTAATGGGGCTTTTGTATAGAGAGGTATATTGTTGTAGAATGTGGCAACTAGCTTGGTTTCTTAATGGGATTCTATCCTGGATGAAATTACGATCCTCATTTCTTATCACCCAAAAGAAGAAAAAAGAATGCTCTATCATCTCCAATGGTTATTTGACCAACCAGAGCTAGAGCTCAAGTTTGAACTTGTTCAGATTTGACTTTTTTCTAGAGTCAAGCTCAACCTCTCAAATTTTTTGAACAGTCAAATCAAATAAAATTCAAATCAAAGTTGGAATCAAATTCAAATCTAATAGAATTTTTTTTTAAAAAAATCAAACTTCAATTCTAAAGTACTTGCTTGATTCATTGCTAATGCCATTAGGTAGAAGGAAGATGAGAACAGCTTTGGATCAATACATCGTTTGATCTGACACTGCATGGGGTCAAGCTTTACAGCCACTTTCTATTAGATCTGAATTTGGCTCCTGAACTGGCAACGGATCTTATGAGCTAAAATTACAACAGGAAATAGGGGAGAATAAATAATACAGGCAGAAATATTCTTGTGGGCGGACTCCCAAAACATTCAAGATTAATTATCGAAGTCCAGGAAAAAAAAAAAAAACACATCATCTGTCTGCAGTCAAACATCATGTCTCCGCCAACTAGTAGAAAACTAAAATCAAGTTATACTCAATGCATCCGGTAACTAGAGCAGAAATCTGGTAATCACCTAACTCCATTGTCTCGTGATGCACAAAATGATACAGAATTCAAACAGCCACCTAGAATAGCCTAGACTCAGGCTCCTGCTCCTACGTGGGCTTTGGCTTTTGCTCCTCGACCTATATGGCGAGCATGAGTAAAAGCTAAAATCAAGTTATACTGATGCAATCTAGTAAACAGAGCAGAAATCGAGTTATCACTCTAACTCGACTTTGATAGTAGAAAATGTCTTATAATGCACAGAGTGATACAGAATTCAAACAGCCGCCTAGAATAGTCTAGACTCGGGCTCCTACTCGTACATGGTCTTTGGCTTCTGCTCCTCGACCCATATGGTGACAATGTGCAAAACTCCTTCCAGTATCTTCTATCTCTTGGAGATACTCATTTTGTATTTTGGTGTGTTAACAATAAACTTGTGGTAGGCACCGATCATATGACCGTGGGCAAATTGGGAAGATCTCTGCCTATGAATGGATTTTATGCGCTAAAATTACAACAGGAATCAGGGGATAATAAATAATACAGGCGGAAAATTCTTGTGGGCAGAACCCCAAAGCATTCAAGATTAATTATCAAGTCCAGAAAAAACACTTCTGCAGTCAACCATCATTTGTACGTCAAATAGTAAAAACTAAAATCAAGTTATACTCTATGCATCCAGTAAATAGAGCAGAAATTGAGTTATCATCCTAACTCCACTCCAAGAGTAGAAGTTGTTTCATAATGCACAGAGTAATATAGAATTCAAACAGTCACCTAGAGTAGCCTAGACTGGGGCTCCTGCTCCTACGTGGGCTTTGGCTTCTGCTCCTCGACCCATATGGTGACCTTGAGTAAGACCGCTCCCCGTATCTTCTATCTCTTGGAGATACTGACCTGAAGTAAGACAATAGATTATGTTCTTAGCAAACACACAACCTGCAAAAGTAAAATCAGATGAAAACCAACAAAAATGACAGTATGTATACCTTGAATAGTGCCTCCTCCGTGGAGAAGGAGAATAATAATCTGGACTACGAGAATAACTTCGTCTATAGAGTGGTGATTGGGAATAACGGAGAGAAGACTGCCCACGGTCATATGATCGGTGCCTAACCACAAGCTTATTGTCAACACATCAAAACACAAAACGAGTACATCGACAAAATGTGTGTGTATTCATCAATGTGCTTTTGTGGCTGTATTATTTTCACATAGATGAATTTATGTATGCATGTGAGAAGTGCAAGCCAAACTTAACTAGTCACCAAGCCAAATATTTGCTCAAAGCTAAAATTCCCATGAGTACCTATATTGATCTCTTGCCCTCATTTCTGATGGCTTCTTTCTGTTTTCCTCTGCAAATACAACAGTAATTTTTCGACCGAGAAGAACATAACCATCCATGTGATATTTTGCATCTGCGGCATCAGCAGGATCTATATACTGGACAAAGCCGAAACCACGAGGCTCCCTGCAACATTGGTACAATGAGTTTCAAAAAGATTAGAAAATAAGGTGTAAAAGCCCTGATCATAAAACAGACATGCTTGCTGAGGGCAAGCAACCACAACCGTGTTCCGACACTGTAGGAAATAAGGAAGATCAATACAATCACAAGTTCACACTTCATACAGTTCAAGTAAATATAGTTATATGGCCGCTAACCTTGTGGAAAGCAAAGTTTTATTTGAGTAGATATTCTTCAGTCGAACTTCTTCACAATGAATTCACACACACAACTTCCTTCCATTCCTGATGTATATTAAGATCATCATGAATAGTACTCATTATTTGAAGGTGTCTTCAGCAGAGTACTCTTATTACTTCATAGTTGTCTTCAACACAGTACTCTAATTACTTCATTGGTGTCTTCAACACTTTGAATAAAAACAACCAAATTCCGACAAACCAATATTATTTTATGAAGAAACAAACCCATCACTGTACACTATTGAGGTGGAAGGATGTCGGACAAATTGCCACAGTTGAATGACTTTAATTTTACTAAGAGGCAAAAAAGATCCTAGTGTAAATGAACAAAATCTTACCCAGAATAATAATCTCGAGGCAAATAGATATCCTTAAGGCGGCCAAATTGGCTAAATGGTCCACGTAAATCTTCTGGCCTGCAAATTGTGTACAATCAGAAGCTTCATATTAGCATACTACAAAAAAACCTGTATAGAATACAAAAGTTAAGTTCCTATTTGACAAACAAAATTGGTTCCTAGCATCCAAAAGCAGAAAGTTGGACCAGGCATCCTGCTTTAGGTTATGACATGCTTGGGGATGGATACAACATAAAAATTCAAATCGACAAGACATGAATTATCATAAATTTCTAAACTCCTATTTAGTCTTTGACAGCATGTTTCTGATAAAAAAATAAATAAAAAAGCTATAATCTATACAAAATAGTGAAAGGGGTATTAGAGTAACCAACCTCAGAAATTCTAACTAATAAAAAACCATTTTCATAAGTAAACTGGCAAGTTAATATCAACATTTACATGCTTATCATTAACAATAGACCTGAAAACATGCAATTGAAAAAAAAAAAGCAAACGGACAGAAAAGAAACTATCCAAATCTTTCTTCGTAATCCAAAGTGGAAATGTAAGATACAAACCTGCAGTCATGGCGCAAGTTGCGAACCAGAAGACTTGTTGGAAGGTCCCTGCCCCGGCCTCTATATCGATCCCTAGGGCTGGAGCTGCGCCTTCTCCTACCATAATCCCTTGGTGGCGAGGGACTGTAACTGTAACTTCTGCCCCTCATCTTCAACTAATGCCACAATCTACATCAGAATAAGGATAATCACAGAACATAAAATATTTGACTATTACACTTTATAAAAATTAAAGCTCCACAAACTCTGACTAAACAATTTATTTTCGAACCTTATATAGATCTAATGGGTGAAAAAACAGAGACTGTACTTTCTCGAAAGGCATCATGTAAAACAAGATAACAAGATCTCCTTTAGTACATAAAACATTTTCCTAATCTTCTTATGATTTTAAAATTCATGTCATAATCCATGATGAATGTTATTTCTTCCAACACAGCCAAAAGATTTTGGACAGATACCAACCACAACAATAAACCAAAGCTCTACTGAATTCCTAACCGAAGAAAAAAAGAACCAAAGGAACCATAACTCGTGCAAGAAACATACCCGTTGCCGGAGGACAAAAAAACCTCAAAACTCAGAATTGAAAACACCAATATTCCCAAATGTATTATACAGCAACAAAGAAAAATCATAAATACAGAGAAAATCACACCAAACGTTAGAATTAATCATCTACAAATTCAACTTCATAAAGAGACGAAAGAAATCGAAAGAAGAACGATAATTCAAATAACCGAAAGAACTCATTTAAAAATAAAGAAATACACAGCCGGACATGTTTGTGTCGAGAGAAAGGAATCTGAGAAAACGGTGATGGAAGGAAGAAAATGTTTACTGGGGGAGGGGGAGTCGCAAATGATCACTTTGGCATGCAAAAAGGAATGAGACACGGAAATATGGCTTCTCAAACCTTCATATTCGAGAAGCTTCCCTTCATCTTAGATTTGTTTCTGTACTGCGCGGCTGCATGGATCCTCATGGTGTGGGAAAAATCAAGCCATCCAATTTCAGTTACAGCTTGGGCTGCGTTATTCCGGCCCTTTGTCTCCTGCGTTGGCCCAATTATTTATTTTAGTTTTATTGCTTGTCTCCATAAACTATACCTTAAAATTTAAAAAAAAAATAAAAATAGACATTCAAATAAATTTATTAAGCTTAGTATCCAATTGTTATAATTTATAAATTTTATATAAATAATATATAAATAAGATAAAATGTATTACAACTGTAAAAATAATAAATCAAAATTTTTAAATTTTTTGGAAAATTTTAAATTTAAAAAATTGTTATTATATTATTAAAAGTTAGTTCAATTATTATTTATTTTATCGGTCTTTTATTAAAAATTTTAATTGTAATTTACATCACAAGTTGATACTTCATACAATTCAAGTAAATATAGTTATGTGGCTGTTAAACATGTGGAAAGCAAAGTTTTATTTGAGTATATATCATTTCAACGAACTTCTTCACAATGAATTTAACTGTTTTCTGTTTCTAAGATTAGAATCAATCATCCCTATTTATAGTGAGACAAAAGACTCTAAGAAAACAACGATAGAAGGAAAAAAATCTTTACTATAGGAAGGAAAAAAGAATCCAAGCAATGCAAAAAATATGTAAATAAATTAAATACAGAAAAAATCATACCAAAAGATAAAATCAATTATACCTATTTATAGGGAGAGAAAATACTCTGAAAAAATAATGATAGAACAAATAAAATCTTTACTACAGGAAGTAAAAAAGAATCTAAGCAATGTAAGAAACATGTAAAGTGTAACGACTCCGGAAATATTAAAATGAAATGAGTATTTAAATATATCAAATGCGGAAGCGAGATCAAAATTTCATTTAATATCCCTTACACGAAAACTAAAAACGTGCTTAAAATATAAAAGATTAAACTAACTAAAAGAGAAACTCGAAAATAAAGCTATGAGTATGACTACAGAGTCTCTAGGCATCCCTTTCGTCGTCCTCCTGCGGAACGGGCTCGGGAACCATGTCTTCCTGATCTGAAATGGTTAAATAAGGAGTGAGCTACACTAGCCCAGTAAGAACATCACGATATCTCACCGTCACGGAGGTAAAGGTGGGTAGAAAACACAAAAAGACCAATTGAGCATAATTCACAATAAACTCGTTTATCAGTAATAAAACCATTTACCATCCACTTACTTCGGTGGAATTTATGAAACAATATAAGAAAAACAATAACATTATCATAATCATGGAATAATATAAGCTGTAAAACATAACACTTATCACGCCTCTTGTAATTCAATCATTATACAACATATCTTTTTATCATTTACCAGCCTACTAGTATCCGTGGGGGTCCATAGGGGTCCCGCTACCCGTTAAC